GTTAAAATTTCGTCGGAACGAAGTTACGGAAAGTTAATTAACAAACGGAGACGTAACACATTCATACTTTAAAACTGTCTTTTTGCATCATATATTGTGTTTTTATGAATATATATATATAATTTATTGCAAAGTTGCTATCTTTAAAACCCACAAGCGTAATTATAATCGAAAAAGAGACATACGTAATTCATCAAAGTAATTATATAAAAAACTAGGTAGGCCTGTCTTTTCAGTGGTTTCTCACTGTATAATAGCAATTTCCGTGTGTAATATTTTGATATGAATCAGAAGGAAATACATTCCTCTTAAATCACGTCTTTCAAATGATACCTGACAGAAATAAAATTTCCACTTACTTTGATGCAGTGTATGACAAAATTAAAGAGAATTTACCAGATTCTATGTCTGGTGTCATGTAAATATCCTTCACTGCCGATATTAGGTCTGTACATAACCGCAGCTATTTCTTTTTAAGATTGCATATTGGATGGATCCCTTTATATTTGTTATAATCAAATTCTGTGTGAAGACACTTTTCTATGTCAACTTGCATTTTGTAGATAAGTTCAACTCTGTATAAAAAGCCAGGGTATGAACTACGATGTCCAATTCTTTCACAGTATCTGACAGTCTTCTCACTGTGGTCACACATAAAAAATATCCAAGTCTAATATTACAGCCTATGTAAAATTTATATGGGTTTTCAACACTGACTCTTCATCATAAAATAAATAGTTCTTTTCTTTTTTCTCTCTTCAGTTTTAGTATCCACTAATTTTCAGGTATCTGAACCACAGAGTATTATGTCAATATCTGCTGCCTGATCAAAGCCAAAGAAACTCTCTAACGGGAGCTCCATCCATAAATTTATATTTGGCAAATGTTTCATTTTCATTCAATGAAACTGAAACAATTGCAAATATGAAAGGCTTGCCATTTTGTTACGTTAGAGGGAGCTTTACCCAACCAATTAGAGTCTACTTCATCTTTTCCACCAATCATTGCATGAAATGAAAAAACGACGGTTTTTGAAACGGAAAATCGACGTCAGACTGAAATGGAGTGTCAAATATTAGTATTTCATCTTAATTATATATTAAATGATGGGTATAATTAATAACTGTAATTAAAGAAATAACAGTTATAAAGTTTGCTACGTTTAGTTAGCTTTTAAAGGATAAGGTTAGATTTGTTTCGTTAAATTATCACATTACATATTTCATCTTGAAAGTTGGATATAAATTCATGATAACGGGGTAACGTTTCTGCGTTTAATTTTAAAATTAACGTCAGGATATGTCAGAACATAGTAACGATAAGCCTGTACCGGTAAGCTTAGTTTGAATATTGTGAATTCTATTACTACATTTTGAATTTAATGACGTTTTAGTTGTGCTTTATACATTGGCTAAGGTTAGAACTTAGAGTGCACATAACCAGTTTAAGTGATAGTTATAAGTATACTATAACTATATTATTTTAGTATATAAAATTATAAGTATAACATGAGTTTGTTTTTCATTTTCAATGACTGACGAACTTTGGTACATTGCTTCTTATTGCTGATGTTATATAATAATAATCAAAGGCTTTAACAAGTTTATGAAAAGTAAAAATTTAATAACGATAAGAATACTGAATAGAACCTATACCTATTTATTGTATTTTACTCCTGAAAATATAAAGCTTTATTGATGTTATTCATAATAAATATTAAAGTAACTTAGGAAGTCAAGTTACCACTTGAAAGCAAAACTGATTGCTTCAATTTGTAAGCTTGTAATAACTTTAATGTGATTTTAATTTTCATCTGTATACTTTTTACCAAGTTTAAGGATAAGGACCTTAAAATGTTAATTTCACAAGAGATGAGGGGAATTATAATTTATGTTTGCAATAGAAGTACAATATAAAGAAAACAAGGTTCTTCAGGCTATTTCTACACATCCACTGTTGAGTAAAAAATTGAACCTACTTTTTATTTAAGAAAATTCCTGATTTCTCCTTTTAAACTCTTGTAAAGTGTCAGCCTCCTCTACTGCTGATAGCAATTCATTCTATAAGCCAATTACCCTATTGGAAAAATATCTTAACTGAAGTCTAACTTGTCTTTTTAAAACTGTTTAACTAGCATTCTCTTGTCCTATTGTCTTCAGAATATTTGGTAAAGAAACCAAAAGTCTATCTCATTAAGTCTTTTAAACACCAATTTAAATAAAATCACCTCTACTTTTCACAAGAGAAAAAACAGAGATCTTAATCTGTCTCCTTAAGATAACCTTTCCATCCTCAGAACCCTTTTTAATAAGTCATCATTATATTTTCTTAGCTATGAGGACTGAAACTTATACAATAATTGAAGCAAGGCCTAATGAGGGATTTTATAGAGAGATAATTACCACTTTCAATTGGGGAATGAGTAAAAGCTGGATGAGTGTTTTGTTGGCTGGATAGAATGGTTATTAACACAAACTATCATATATCATTCAATTACCTCTACAATAATAAAAAATAATTATCTTCAAATCTGTTTTAATTTTTCTGTAATATCATAAATTAAAAACTTGCCAGAGCAACATTTATTAATTAGTGTAATGACACATAACATATCTCACTCAGTTACTCCAATAATCCCCTACAATAACCAAAAATGACTATTTCCAAATCTATTATAGTTTTTCTGTAATATACAAAACAAAGACTAGCATATATTTGCCTGGTTGGGACACTTAAATAGCACTACATATTTCTTTCAATTACTACAGTTCTCCATCACACTATTCAAAGAAATAATTATTTCCAAATCTATTGTAGTTTTTTTTTTTTATATAATATCAAAAATATTACAGGGGTTTCATTAAGTAGAAAAATTGAAAGTTTAAACATTTTACAATTTGCCTCAGATGGTTTTGGAAGCATTGTACATTTCTCTGTCTAAACTTCTGAGGATATTCTATTTTTCAACTTATACTCTTAGTGGCAGCATTGTAGTAGTAATAACTAATAACTTTGTTAAATATACTTTTTTTAAATAGGTCTTTGTCTCTTTTTTTTATTGTGATTTGTTTGTAAATTGGTTATTCGGGGATGTTGATCAGTGCCATTATTTTGGGTTATTTGTAACATGCTTAGGAAAAGAAATTCCCATTAATTTTTTACAGGGGAACCCAAATGACTGGGCTTCTTTAGTTTTAAATTTCTTTATTTTTTCTGAAGAAACCACTAGCAACCCCTAATATCGGTATACCTTCAACTCGGATCCCAAGCAAAATAAAACCCCCAAAGATGAATAGCCTTCATCCAGCTGTAGTTCACATACAAAGCAAAGAGCCAGGAAACCAAGATGAAAATGTAAGTTTAAACTTGTTTTTGTTCTTTCAAAGGTATCATATACATATTTACATACATGCACAAAGATGTAACTGTAAAGTGTATTTTCATTCTCTTAAAGTTGTTTAATAGAGCTAACTGCTAACACAATGATGCTAGATTTAAAACATTTATAATGTTACTTGTGAATTTAGGTCTGTAAGTACAACTGTGGACAAGTTATAGAAGCCTGTAACAAATGTTAGGCTGAAATAATTTAAAAGAACCTGCACAACCATACATTTAAACAATGTAAATATTATGTATTAATTGTTTATTATTGACACTACATGGCAGTTGAAGTAGTTTGTGGCTAAAACTGCAAACTGTAGTGGCTATCATTAGATTATTATACATCTACTGATGAATTCTAGAGAAGACCAACTTGGTTACACCTGGTAACATGTACTTTGCTAATAATTTGTTACTGCATGCAATCTAACAATGAAAATGGAATTTCAACCAGATTTAGCTTTGAGTTGGGATAACAAATATTAAAATACATTTTAATTTGCTTTAGGCTCCATCTCAGGCAAAAAGACCCAAAATGGATCCTCCACGATATCCACCTCCATTATCCAAACCGGCAGGGACAGGTTTGAAGCGTGCTCATTCAGCTTTAAGCTTGAACGTGTCTACATGTAGCTCTACAATTTCTGTAGCTCGGGGTAGATCTGAAAAGAAAGGTCAGTTTTTTTTACTATACAAAAAAAACTTAAAAATAACAGTTATGTTTTGTTGGTGGGAGGGGTATAAGAATTATCTGTTAGTTGTTGTTTTTTTTGTGTGTAGAGAGGCTGAAAGAATGAATACAACTTTTTTATAAGTTTTGTTTTTAAGATTTGTGTTTGTGGGGGGGGGGTATTGGAACATATGTATTTAAGGTTTTTGTTTATGGTGTCTTTTCTCAAAAATAAAACCTCCACGTCCACCTCGTGGGAGAATGACAACATGACAAGTAGAGGATTACTAGGACTGGGCAAAGTATGATGGTGGGTTTACTTCTTTGGGTCAGTATGGTACCCATGAAGGTCATCTTAGGTCACCTTGAGAATGTCATGGACAACAGTGGTGGTGTAACCCACACTGTCTTGTGGATCAGGCTTATTGGTCAAAGGCTAAAAAATTAAACCTTAAATAAATCCAAGAGAAAGCAATGACAAACCACTTGTATCTACAAAGAACATCATGACCCAACATTTCTTAAATGATAGATGTAACAATGCGAAGGATGGGTCCAACAGCAAAATCGTATCATTTCATAGGAGCAGTTGTGCAACAGGTGACAGCAGACTGTCATCAAGCTACTATCCACATTATAAACAAAATTAGCATAGCAACATAGAATGTAAGAATGTTTCAAAACAGAAAATTTGGATGATATTAAACAGGAAATGCAAAGATTAAAACATATGTACTGGGAATAAGTGTAGTGAAATGGGCTGGGAGAGGATTAATAACAACAGTTGAACACATAATCATGTTCTCAGGCAAAGATAAGAATGAGAGGGTGGATGGTGTAATCTTGGACCAAGATAGAGAAAAATTCATACTGGAATATTGGGCCATTTCTGACTGAATTTTACTTATGAAATTAAAAGGCATGCCACTCAATATTAACATTAAACAAGTTCATGCACTAACAACATATTTACTGGAAGAAGATCATGAAAGATTTTATTCAGAACTAGAATAAGTCAAATCTCTATACGACATAATCATACTAGAAGACTTTAGTGTAAAAGTTGGAAAAGGTTAAGTAGGTGATACTATAGTACCATATGGATTAAGAACCAAAGATAGAAAAAAGGGGAAATCTGATAAAATAGGCAAAATCTTAAGAGATGATCATAAGAAATACGTGGTTCCAGCAACATCCAAGGTATCTATGGGCATGGATAAGAGGTTGAAAAATACATTACAGGCAATAAAAAATTATCCCGATGTGGATTTTAATAGTGATCACATACCAGTATAGTACGCTTCAAGTGAAACTGAATAAAATAAAACCACCAAGAACAACTCATTTAGAAATGGATTTATTAAAATCTGACATAATGATAAGAGAAAAATTCAAAATAGTAGTTCAAACAAAAAACAAGTAGATTTCAATGGGAACAAATGAAAGATTAAATTACTGAGTCAGAAAAAAACGTCCCAAAACAAGAGAGAAAATGCAGAAATAAGTGGATGACAAATGAAATACTGGATCTGATTGAAAGAAGACAAGCAACTGCAAATAGTGAAAGATATAATACATTTAACAAGGAAATAAGGTCTAAGACATAAAAAGCATGCACAAAAGGATAAGAAAAGAAGCAAAGGAAAAAAAAACAGAAATCTTAGAGAGATGATCATAATATATCAAAGAATTATATGATGATGATGACAGGAGTGAAAACCAGTACCACAGAGAAATATGGAAGGACCATCAATAATGAGAGATGAAGGGAAAAACCCAGATAAAATCACAACTGAAATGGTTCAATGCTTGGAAGATTTTGTGACCAGAGAACTCCTGAATAAGATGTATGAATCTGATGAGATACCATCTGACGTGCCAAAATCAATTTTTATTGCATTGCCTAAAACACCAGGAACAGTTGAGTGTGAGTTACACAGAACAATAAGCATTATGAGCCACCTAACCAAAATCCTACTGAGAATACTTGTGGCCATAGTGAGAAGTAAGATAAACTCTGAGACAGCAGAAGAACAATGCTGATTTGTTGAAAGTAAATGGATTAGAAATGCCATATATATACTGAAAGCATTAATAGAAAAAACAATTAAAGTACAGAAAGATTTATACACATGTTTCATTGACTACACTAAGGAATTTGACAGTGTAATACATGAGGGGATATTAAACATTCTTAGTGTTAATAGTAAAGACCTCAGAATCATCTGGAATCTGTACTGGTAACAAAATACAGTCAAAAATTTAGGAAATAATATCAAATCTTTTCAAGAAATAAAATGAGATGTCATACAAGGATGTGTTCTTTTCCCAGACCTTTTCTTAATATATAGCAAAATGATTCTCAAAGGTTCAGAAAATACACTAGGAATTCAAGATGGAAGACATAACATCAAGAACTTGAGGTATGCAGATCACATGTTGTTAATTGCTGAAAATGAGATTTTCAAGAAATGGTAAATATAAATGTGGATGAAAGTAAGAAAAAAGGATTAACTCTCAGTAGCAAGAAAACAGAATGTATGGTAACCTCCAAGAATAGTAATATCCAAAAATTCAGCATTATGGTTCATGGAACAAAAATCAACCAAATTTACTGTTTCAGTTGTCTGGACTTTTTAATAATATTGGATGGTGAATGTATAAAAAGAGGTTAACCCTCTCCACACAGGTCAAAGGACATGTCATCGCATTTGTTGAATTTATGTCAATAATTTGGTATCAAATTATAGATTATAATTCAAATTTTAGTATTATGCATTAGTTAATTTCTTAATTTAAAAGTAAATATTAAAAAACTTGCCTAAACATCAATTTTTGTGTGTCACGTGGTATGTTGAATGCAGCACTGGTTCAAATTAGATGTTTGTGGTGCCCAAATACAAAGTCTATAGTTTCTTACAAATTAGGAACTCAGATTACCAATATTGACAAGCTAGAATATAAAATAAGAACCTCTTATCTTTTCTGTTTGCTGAGATATCTCTTGTGTACTGAATCAAACACAGTGGCCCTGCCCACCTCTTTCCATTTTTGGAAACACTTCCACAAATGCAGTTACTACTGTCTATGACATGTGAATAACCAATCGATACAAGACTTGAAGTTGGTAGGTTGTGTCTTTAGTCTGCTCAAAATTTAAAATTTTTTTATATCCAAGTACAGCTTAGTTACTAAGCTTGATAAATTATAATGGAATTCTATGGTATTAATATAGTAATTAATGATTTTTGGTTATTTCAAATGTATATATAAAACCCTAAAAAAATTTGTTTGACATCCTCCACATGCAAAATTTGATAAGGCTTAGCCACTTATGGCAAGCAGCAAACTAGTACAATGGTTGTAACTAGAAGATGTAATTGTTTGCTATACTTCTTTATTTACTGTTCTATGTTTAAGAAAAATAAGTTTAAGAAATTATTTGTAAATAGTAATAATGTATATACATATATAATGTATAATAATTGAAAAATTTACAAAGTGACCTGTCTTGGCTGTGTTTTAGTGACTAGTATTTTGTAAAATACAGTCACGGTCAGTTTTATATTATTAGATACAGTAACATGAGTGCGCGTGTGCCACATCATTGTAACTTCTGTGATGTCAGCCAGGCATGGCTGAAAAGTCAATATAATAAATATATATAAATGTATAAAGTTATGACATTTAAGATATTTAGACTAAACATTTGTGTTTTTGTTATAATCTGTAATCATTCTAGAACAAAAAAAAAGCATAATTTATATTTATTTTCTAATTTTTTATGGTGGTTACGACATTGGTCAAATCTACCAAAGCCGTATATAGAATCGATGGTGAAAATAACAGATAAAATATAAAGTATTTTGTTAAAAAGTCATTGCATAATTATCTGGAGGTTATAAAGACCTCTCATGTGAAATTTGAAAATTTTCTGATGCATTAAAGTATTTTTAATCTTGAAATGAAAATAACTTTGCATATTGGATTGGCAACATGTGATAAGAAAAAGGCATGAGAAAAATATTTCTTAAAAACCTTAAGAGTTAAAATGAAAAAAATCTGATATTTTACGTACAAAAGCCTTGTACTTTTTACTGAGATTCTGCCAAATTTTGTGAAGATATGCTTACTAATTTAAAAGTTAGAGCATGAATGTTATAACAAGCACAAAATGGTTACGAGGTTGGTCCCAGAGACCGAGCCTGTGCTGAAAGAATTAAAAGAATAATAATGCTAGCTAAGAACACCTTTCAAAATATGAAGGCTATACTGACAAACAATAATCTATTAAACAAGAAAAATGTGTTATAATGTTACATCAAGATCATACTTGTGTATGGTTGTAAAACATTGACAATAACAAAGGAAGTCAAGAGAAAACTTAAAGCAGCTAAAATGTGGTTCTCAAAAAGAATGTTGTGAATAGCATGGATTAAGAAGAAAAGTAAGACAGAGACAAGCTGAGTTCATGGGCCATTTGATGAGAAAAGAAATGATGGAGAACATCAAGACACACAGTAGTGTGTCATGCAGCCAAAACAACTTGTTGCAGGACATACTGTGTGTAATTAACAGGAGTGATAGTTTAGCAATTTTTACTTCATTCTTTTAAGTAACAACCAGCAAGATAGAATGAAAGAGAAAAAAAAGGCAAAAATAAAGATTGTTGATGGACTCACAAAATGGTTAGGAACCATGAATAACTACATGGAATTGTTGGAGAATGCCAGTGTCAGAGAGAAATAGAAAATCATGATTGTCAATATCTACATGCACTCCTGACATTGGAGAAGAAGTGCAAGGTATGAGAACATGTATTTAAAATTTTTCTATGTAGTGAGTGGGTCTGTAGGAGCAAATAGGCATAATTGCAGAATGCCATTATTTACAATTTTGAATGCATATGTATATTACTGGTGCTAATGATTTATAAACATAATATTCTATAGATGATACTTTTGGCTTTTCTTTGTATAGTTCTGTAGATAGATTGAGTTTTTATTTGCTCTGTATTTGATGTAAAATGAATTATGATTATCATGTGTTGTTTTGTATCAGCACCTTTAGGTCCTTCTGTTGTAAACAGAGTAACTACAAATGTTAAGGCTAGTGTACCACCAGCTAAAAGTAAGAAGACTAAACGGCCAGCTTGGGATCTGAAAGGAAGGATACAGGATATTGAGGAACAGTTCTTGGTTTCTCGGAAGACAAATGATGAACTGATATCCCAGCTAAAATTGAATGAAGAGCGAATTGCATTGTTAGAGGGCCTCAACAGTGAACTTAGCCAAGATGTTCAGTGTAAAGAATCAAAAACACAAGAAGCTAATGAAGTTCTGGAGCAGCTTCAAAAATCTTTGAGGTATGATTTTGATGATAGTACATAGTGTTTATTGTTCGATGTATTTCAGCATATTGAATGTACACATATCTCCTATTTCTATCTTATTAACTCTATACAGGTGTAGTCATTTTAAACAAGACATAAAAGGCATGCAAACATCATGTAATCATAAAGCTATACATACTATAACTTTAATGTTGAAGTGTATCTTCACAAAATTTGGGAAGCTTTTAGTGACATTACAAATCTTTTGTACACAAAAAAATTGGATTATTAATAAAGATTTGTCTGTGAATTCATTGATCACGAGTATTTTGTTATCTAACCTTATATAAGTTTCTCATTTTGTTAGTGTTATAAGAATGTAAAATATATATATGTACTTAAAAACCCTGTAGCTGTCAGCAATATGAAATCTTTGCTTTCTGTTGGTTACAAATAATACAGTAGCCAGTAGTATATGTCAGAGAGAATTTGACAGTTTTTGAAAGCAGGATGTTCTGCAAGGAGCATGGAACATGGCTTTCATGTTGTTGTTTAAATCTCTTTAACTCTTCCGACACGGAGTTGGTCAACCTTCTGTACTCGTTTAAAGTTTACATAAATTTAATACTTATAACTCCCTATATATTGGGTATATCTTCACAAAATTTGGCAGTCTCTCAGTTAATATTACAAGTCTTTCATATACAAAAAGTCATATTTCTTAGTGAAGTATTTCTAATAAAATATAATAAAGTTTTGTCCATGAATATATTGAGTATTTGTTTTGAATAGCCTGTGTGCAAAGTAATTTTCATGTTAAAATTAAAAATATTTTTTGTCATTTCAAAAATCTCAAATTTCCTTTGTGTAATCCCTAAAACCTCCTAAATGCATTTCAAACTTTTTTTTCACTAAATCCTTATAGTTTATGTTATTTTCTCTACCCTAATCTCAAAACTGGATCGGTCAATTTGACCGACCTTGTAACCACCAAAAAAATTGAAATAAACTCTTTAATTGTTTTCCTAGATTGAATAAAGGTCGCTTCATTTTGTTAAACACTGTGTACAATTTCTTTCATTCTTCAAAGTCAGAAAATTCAGATTGGTTTCATAACACCTTTTCTGTAGAAAACCAAGATTTGCTGGAGGTCTGTCTGTAAGAAGTTTTAGGATGCTTAAAAACTGTGACTAAATCTGTTCCAGACTGAGAAAACATAGCATGATTATATACATAAACAATAATGCTATTCTTCTCAGGCTGTGTGCACTACCCACATCACAATTGGTAATTCCCATAACAATATAAGAGAGTCGAACTGGTTTGGTCTGATATTTCATTGGTGGTAGTGTCCAGTGTCACTGATGAGGAGTGCAATTCTCTGAAACTAGTCTGGCTCACAGACATACCCCCAATGAAAGAAT